AGAACAAACATCTATCAATATCAATGTTTAATATCGTGCTTCGTGGAAGTTCAAGTAATACCATATAATGGGGTTAAAGACTTTGTGACGTTACATTGTATTTTCAATTCCAAAACATTTTAATTTTATTCAAATTGAATACAGGCCAGTTTCTGTTATGTCATTGAAAAGGTAGTATAAAATTATGTGAAACATATGCAAGAAAGGTAAAGATATTGTGATTTTGTTGAATGCAGCACTTTATTTAAACATATGTTATGGTAGAACTTGCGCTAATTTATTTATATGGAATAAAAATGTTGTCTTGACGTCACTCTATTACGCACAGAAGACACCGAAGACGCTAATATTGGTCTTGTCCTTTGTCCACATCTTGTGCGTTTTCTTTATGAGCAGCTGAAATGAAAGTGTACACATTTTTATTTGTATAATAATATATGTATAAGATTTAGTACAACAAAAAGAGCGAGTGGTATCAGATACATAATATTGATATAAAAACCTGTATATAGACATTAAATAAAACGAGCTTTTTATATCTTATGACATCAAAGAGGTTATTATCAAAATGATTTTTACACGTGCGTATTGTAATTCAAATCTGAACATGAAATAAAGTAATTTATTGCTTCAACATAAACTAACGAGTATTCAACATGTTTATTTATGAAAACATATTCAAACGAAATTACATGAATAGGAAAATTATCAAACCTTCTCGTTTGACTCTGACACCGTTGTCAAATTCAGACTCCACTTTCTGCAGACCTGAAACAGAATTGCAGAATATAACAGTTATAACATACAGTCATTTACCCTATTTCTAAAGCATAATTCTTTCATTATATACATTGCATATCGACACAATATATATAAAGAAGTACACTACAAGATGTAGAAATTACTATATCATACAAATATGTCATGAAATAAGTTCTGATGTAGATATATTAGATAGTTGCGAGTGTATTGACTTGCAGTGCAACTCTCTTGCATCTGTAGTTATTGCATCCTTCCTATATCAAGCAAACAAGTGTTAATCCGCTAAATGTAAGTGTAAGTTTATTATTTCTTAAAATAAAAGAAATATCTTAAGCATTTATTTATCTAATAGAGAACGTATTTCATATATTGCCTCACCTCCGCCGCTACGAGTGCCACCAAAATGCAAAGACATTGAATTATCAGTCAACAGTCCAACCAATAAGACGACGATAAAGAGCTTACCCATGACTTATTTAAGATCCGTTTCTCACTGAACACATGAACAAGAATACTTACATATTTTGAGAGTAGTCTTATCATAATAAAGAGTATGCAAACATATGTTACTTCCCATTTCTTTTCAGTAAAACTAACTAATTATCTTTTTATTTATATTACAGAAAGTAGATTTGCTACGTTTTTGTACGATAACTAAGAAACAGAATTGAAAACATTTTTGTATGGCGACAGAAATGTTATGTCGGCTTTTTTTTGCGTGTGGTCCATTAATTCGTCAACAGGATAAGTATAACATTCCATGCAATATCAGTACGATTACATAAAACTATCTGAGACCCCACATACCATGTAATCAAAGCAACATGTTTCATTTTTGCATTCCTTTATACTTTTTTTTCTGTATGAAAACCATTTTAAATAATCTCAAGTCGGCCGTTAAGTGTAATCATAAGATGAAAACGACCAATTAATTTGGTCTTAAGAATAAAAAGATTGTTTGAAAAGATTTTTTTCTGAATGAGATCCATTATGAGCCGGCATATACTGTAAACAGTATTTTACAAATCTTTGCAGGTAAAACGTTTTTACCAAGAATAAATATTATGTTTTTGAACTGAAATGCTGTGAAAATTCCGCATGACCCCTAGTTTGCTTTAGCTGGAATTATCTTGGATGATACTGTACAAGTGACTTTGATTTGATTTGAGAGTTAGTAAAATTGCCACAGGGTTGAATGTTTATATAGAACATATAGTGAAATAAACTGTGGTCTGAGGACACATCAAGACGTGAATGTAGGAAATCAGCCTTGACAATTGTTCTCTTTTACAGTTTAATATCAGAAGCACTAATATTTTTTCTTCATATTCGTTGTATGTGCTCGTTGTTTATAAATTCAGTTGCATATTTTTGTGAAAAACAAAAATAGAACTTAATACATTAATTCACAAAGTAATGCCATGTGTGAAATTCTGAAATGTTTGTCTGTTGCGACAAAGATTGAAACGTCTGGTGGAAGCAAACTTTAATTTGATAACAAGTAAAAAGGAAATGATTGGTATACTAACTTGAAGGTGATGAAATCAAGCGTCCTAAATATATTGATATTGTGTCGAAATATTGGTCACATTTACATAATGTTCGAATGATTTGAGGACGAAGTATTCTGTTTTCTTTTACAAATAGCAAAAATATGTCTGAATTTTTAAACAATGTTTATGGATAAATTGTTAAATATAATCAATTCTTAGTTAAATATTGTTGACTAATTAAATTAAACTATTTGATAAAACACAAGACTACATAGTTGTTTACATTTTACTTAACGGGGAATTTAGGTATAGAACCACTAAATATAATAAAAATCTGAGCAAAGAGAACAATCGTCAGAATCCTTCAAAACAACCTATTGCAAATATATGTATTACATTATAAAACAAACTTAATTGTCATTCAGTTAATCTGTTTTATAACTTAAATGTTTTTTCTTCACGAATATGCATACGTTGTGCCTGTTTTGCAAAAAAAAAAATATGTCCGTTGCGACTGATGCGCTAAAAAATCTCCGTTGCGTAATTTACTTATACCTCTTGTTCCCGTTAATATAAACTGACTCATTGACACATTACTTATAAAGTAAAAAATATATATGATATTCAAACATGACATTATCACTTCAGTTAAACATTTATTTTAATTCCTTAAAGCTCGGTGACATATGTTGTACATCACAAAACCTATTTTTATTAGAGAATATGAAAACAATGTGACTTTGTTGAAAAAAATTGACAAAAGAAAGACTAAAGTATTCCCTATGGCTGAATAGGCGAATGCATATCTACTAGCATCTGCGTGCACGCGGCGTCTAATAACAAATACGATGGCTGATCATTAAGTTCGTGGACAACCTGGCTTGCAATAAAGGCATAGGAGATATCATGTGCATAACCCATGAATAATATAAATGAATACTTTAAACATGTAGTGACAAAATATCATCAAAAAATGACCTGTGTAAATATCATAAACATTTATCGACAACCATGTCTCAATGCTCCCCGCAGGTCCTGCATAATTTAAAGACGTCACGGTCACATCTTCTCAAAATAAACCCCACCCGTTTTTACTCAACATCCATGCCACAGTTTACAAATGTTTCCATAAAACGGTTTATCACATCCTCTTAATACGGACAAAGCAGCTGTATGGAGCTTCTCAAAACATAAAAAACGTCGACCTTTTAGTTCTGTTTTCAGTTTTGGGAATAGATAGAAGTCACGCAGGGCTAAGTCTGGTGAACTTGATGGATGTTCCAAAGTCTCTACATAAATGTCCGGTCACTATTGTCGTAGTGTTAATAAAATAAAATAAAAACAATAATTACTATAATTACTGTAGCATTATTATTATTGTATACTATACTATACTGTACTGTACTGTACTGTACTGTACTGTACTGTATTGTAACGCACCGGACCGTACCGTAACGTACCGTACCATACTAAACTATACTATACTATACTATACTATTGTTTTTGTTAGTTTGTTTGTTTCATTTTTACGCCTTTTCCCAACAATATTTCTGTCATATAGGCGGGTAGTTTCCTAACCATTGTACCTGGAGAGTTACACCAGTACTAGACTTCCTTCCTCCGTGCTGAACTACCAAAGCATCTCCCGGGCATCGAACCCACGCCAGAGAGGTAACTGGATTAGAAGTCATCGACTCTGACCCGTCGACAACGGAGGCGGTATACTATACTATAATTATGTGATAAAACGCATACCTATGAATGATACTCTGCGTTGACCGTTACACCCTGAGACACAGCATGACCTGGCTATCAAAGAACACAATAAATAGGTGTTTCCCCAGTGATTTACAGGCTCGAATCTTGTTGGTGGAGAATCAGTTGTCTTTCGTACTATTTTGTTGCCTAATCTCCTGGTCGTAATAGTACAACCAGGTCGAGTAATGATCATATGGAGAAAACGCTGGCCTTCCAAGTTGAAGCTCTATTAGAACCGACGACTGTGTTCAACACAATAATTATTATTGTTCATTTACTGAACAATTAAGGAACCCACCTAGTGCCTTTACATCGTATGTGTCATTTGTTAGAACAGCGGCACAAGAATACTAAGTAAACATACTTTTCGTTTGAGTGTTTTTATTGAATGTGCTAACAGATGCTAGAAATCTACTTAGTAAATGTCAGTATTAATCTTTTTTTACTATTATGTCAAATAAACTTACGGTCCGTTGTCCAGTTCATAAGAAACCGAAACACACGCAACGCATATATAATGCTCAAGGCTGTGCATGCTGTTTTTGGTTCATGTAATGAAATAAATTTTCCTAAGAATTAAACTGTTTAGATTTGAGGAAACACACAAATATAGAGACTGAAATTATTATAGGGACGAGATCACCCATTGAATAAACAATAATGCTTTCTCAACTCTATGTGTAAATACACATACTTTATTAGATACATTGACGTTGTCTAATGGTTTTCAAGTCGACAACCTGCTATGGGCATATGAATGAATGAATGAATAGTATAATTCATACTAATTCAGATGATGTTACGTCTTCTTTGACACGATTACTCTTTAGGCATATATTTTTTTTCTTCGTCACAATAGCAGAACTAGATCCCCGGTGTTCACGCTCGCGTGGTTTAAATCTCTGACCTCTAATAGACATTCACGTCTGGAACAAAAACACACGTAAAAAGAGTACATAAAACATCATTTATTATAAATATTCTATTTAGAAAAAATACAAATAAAACATTTGTATCATTTAACATCAAATATATGGATTGGAATACTAGATCAATACTTATTTTGCGGTTGCAACTCTTTATGCTCCCATGAAATAGTTTTAAATTCTTTGGTAAATATGGTATGTTTTGTTTCTTTAATCGGCACAAAATGGTAAGCAAATATCAATCCATACACACTGTGTTTAGATTTAAAGAATAATTTCAACAGATATATTTTACAATCAGCATAAAGTCCACCATATCTGTCGCACGGCTGTGCAGTGTCCTTCAAAACATAAAAAAACCCACAAAACTCTACTAGGATCCCTTTATATCAATGCATTAAATATTTATATTTAATAGATTAAATTTCCGTCCATCTGTTCAAATGTTAGACAGCGGACCGACAATTCTAACGAACGGACAACCAGATGTATAGTATTACAACCTAAAATTATATAGAGCGTTTACAAATAGAGATTATTAAGAGACAATTGTTTGGAGTTTGAAACTTAGGGAGCTGTAAATGTCTAAGACAAAGCTATCTTAGACATGCATAAAAAATACACGATAGTATGTCTAAATTATTTACTAAAGTAAGGAACAAAACGATCGGGACTTCATATTGATATATTAATGAAAACAGATATAAGACAATGTACTTAAGCGTATTGTTTTATTGCAGAGACTGCACATTAATAATATCCATACAATCATTATTTTACAGCAGATCGTTCGGTCGCTCTTTAAATATATAATTGTGTATCATTTATTGTCTAACACTTGTCCGGTGTAACTTTCAACCCATAAACTTTCATTGACTTATGTTCTCCAGTGTTTTGAATGGGAAAGTTTCCATTCACTTCATAAGAGTCATAGAACTTTTCATACAATGTCTCAAATCCTTCTCTTTCGTAAATTTTCTTCGAGAAGTTTGAAGTTCCGCCCCCTTTAACATACACCTCATCAAAACCAAGATTACGAATCATTTCCAGTGCAGCACGAAACAGTTTTGTTGCAAAGCCTCGTCGCTTGTATTTCTCTGCAACTACAAGGCCAAGGAAATTAAACGCTTCATCTGTTTCATAATGGTCAAAGAAACGACTCTCGTTCTCACAGTGAGCTATAAAACTTAGAACTTCCCGCAGTGGGTTTGACTTTATAGAACAAAGATCAAGTTTTTCATCTCGACAAGAAATGTTTGTTGTTCTAAATCCTATAGGTTCTCCGCTTTCTTCGTCTATAAACAACAACGACAAATGTAATTTCAAAAATTGTAGCCAGAACGACCTCATTTCGTCATTATATTCTAATCCTACCGCTTTGTTGATTGGTTCATCAGGTACAAAATAGTCCCGGCATAATTCTAGCGTCTTTTCATAATATTCTTCCGTTACTAACACTAATTTGACACCTGGAATGTCAAACTGTCCCCTTGTCTTCTCAAACGCCTGAAAAAGTATTTGATCAATTTAAACACACTATTTATTAATCCTGAATTTGACAGAATCTAGTGCATTGATATCTCTACTTGCTTTGGTACTTCAAACGTAAACGTTAAACCTTTAGCAACAGGAATGCATCAAATGTTCTATGGCTTTTATACAAAAGTTCCGATACAATATCATAATCAAATAAAAGTATAACCGCAGCGCGTAATGTCAGCTAATTTCGTTAAATCAATAAATATGGATAACCGTGAGTCAACTAGTCGATCCATGTTCTTTGTTTTTTTTCTGAAATGCTAAAATGAACGTGAACGGCCTTTATAATACTCTTGGAAGAAGTCATACAAAAGTACACACCAACAATGATTGTCCTGTAAATCGCCGCTATCGATTTGAATATCAGTTATTTTCAAAGCTTGGAAAATGGAAGCTGCCATAAACGTGCTGACATAATCATGATAATTACAAAACTAATGAAAAGCTTGTTTTTATATTTACGATAAAATTGTAAAATTTTATAAACTTTGTATATAACGCCTCTTATAAACATGGCATCAACCGTTAAATAATTATGATAGACACAAATGACAAATATTTGTTAATATGCCATTTTTATTTACAGTTAACTAGATCTATAAAGGTAGAAATAAACATAAATTCACACTAATTTCGTCATTAAGATGTTACATACAGCAATATATATATAAATGTATACATTTTACCTTCTGAATATCCTCCTCTGTTAAAGATTTCAATGAAACTTTCCTCCTTGATTCCATTATTTTTCAATGAAAAGTATAATTATGAAGCAAACAGAGATTAAATCTTGATCAGATATCTCTTATGCATATTTAAACACACGAGCTGGTTTACAACTTTACACAACACAGCTGACATACATGCAGTATCCTCTGTCTTGATAACGCAGTGATTACAATGTAGTTTCTCTGCATAAATCCACATAAATTATTATACTTAAAACTATAAAGTCCTTGTTAAAGGTTTATGTAATTGTCGGTTATATATAATTTCCGGGAAAACGTAGAATCGGCCGGTTATGATATTTCAAGCACAAATATGAGTAGTAATAATAATTTATTGTAGAATATACTCCTACGTATCGGACTGACTACCAAATGTTAAGAAATTTCTGAAAGTAATTTAAGTTATTCTAATTACTATTTCGTTTATCTTTTAAATAAATAACATAGTCTTTAAGAATAGATACATGTAAGGCTTTATAAATTTTTAGTTTAACAAATTATACCTAAATTTCCCAATCCTAAAAAAAATGTTTGTAAAGTACATTTTAATTACTTAATCACATAAAGATTTATTTTGTCTGCGTTGATGTAGCAAACATAACCATAATGTACGTTTCGTTCAATGAAACAGGTTAAGGTTGAATACTAATTTAACTGTAACAGTGTTAATTTTTACATTTTGTTGTTATCTACTCCGATACAATAAATTATTTCCTACTTGTTTAATCCTTGATTTAACTACCTTGGTTGAAAAACCTAATGCATAAAATTAATACAGATGCAAAAATTAATAAATGCGTACAACTCTATGTTATACAAGGAAGTTAACGGTAGAGAATACATTCCATGCAGTGAAGCGCATGTTTATATTTTTTTCTAGCCTACATTGTATAAAAGTGCACAGATAAAACACATGTAGCAGGAAGAAAGAAATATTAACTATTGTGAAAGCTTATTTATTATTGTTATTATTTGCAATTTTCATTTTTTTTCTTAAATATTTGGTGTCCTGATAAAATATCTGGACCGTCATTAGCTTCTTTTACTCTTATAGGTACTCAGTACAGTTAATCTGATACATATCTGTTTACAATTTGCACTTTTAATTAATTGTTTACAATGCGTCAACTAAGTGAGATATAGTTTCACAATCAGCGCTTCTTACTTCCGGCGCTAAGCATCTTAAAAATGATTTGAATTCGTGATTATACATTACAGTACTAAGCACATGTTTAAGAAGCACATGTTCTTAGGCATGAAGTGCCTTTAAGATTAACCCTTAAAAAAGAAGCTGTTGATTCGTCATTTAAGTGTTGTATGTATTTCAAATTGATAAGCATATGTAAATTACTTTTAATTGAAAAGTACATGTTCATGTATATTGTATCGGAAAGTACATTATGTATTTTCTATCGAAAAGTACATGTTAATATATTTTAAAATGAAAAGAAAGTGTAGATACATTTGTATGGAAGTGAAGTTTACTTTCAATTGAAAGTACATGTATTTTGTACTGTATTTTGAAAGTGCTGTGCCGCTATGATAATGAAAGTGTGACGTTTCATATTAAGTTTACAACCTTTTTTCTAACTATACTATACTTAAAACAATTTGTGTACATGTATGTATTCTGTTTAGTATTTAGTATAATCTTACACCAACTTGCAAGATATTGCTACATTGAAATCAAAGAAAAAAGTGAAATGAGAATTCAATAGAAAATAACACAACACTTAAAATATTTACAAGAAAAAATACAATATATTCGTGTTTGATTATTAATAATACAGAAATATATTTTTGCGAAAAAGTACAATCCGAACACGCGTGGCTGTCTTGCTTTGATTTTTAACTAGAAATTTACAAGAGTTACGCTGACAGTTGGTAAATTAATTTGTCGATATTTAAATATGTATAGCAAGGCTGCTTGACTTGAGGTTATAAACACAATAAGATAACTGTTTAACAACTTATAATGCGTCTCTAAATAATTATCATAAACGTACAGTACATGATTGGAAATTTATGTAAAAGTACATTTTATAACTTTTTTTTTAGAAACTAAGAGAATATGTCATATTAACATTTATTTGTTTGAATATATTTAAAATGAAAAAAAAAATGCATTCAAAGGTATAAATATGTATTGCATCATGATTGTGTGTGTGTCTTTCTGTTTTATTTTTCTTCAAAACAAAATAATTGTTTGGATATTTACAAGTTTGTATTGACTCGGGCAAATGAATGAAGCAGAAATTTAATATTCCTAATTTCTATTATTATTTGGAATATCATCACTACATAACATGTATTAACACAAAGCACGAACTGTAATGGTTAAAATCATTCTAGTACTTCTATCCGAACTATAGTAGACGTAGAATAACACATGTAAGGAACCAATAAGCGTGTGATATAAGTGATTGAAATTATCTTTCAGCTTCTATGATAAACTGTCACTTCAATCACAAGAAATTAGATAAAGTAACAGTGTTAAGGTATCTGTGTATTTCATAATAAGAGAAAAAAGGCCTGACCATTGTTTTTGAGACAAAAGAGGCCGTGGCATTATTATTGAGAAACAAAAAGATCGCAATGAAGTGAAAGCAGATAAAACTATCAAATTAAATATACCAAAATAAATATTCCTTTTTTGACAAGGAAAGAACGGTGTACTACACGTCGCTATCTTAAGTGTTTCTGGGTATTGTTACATTATTTTGAAAGCGTGATATATTGATGATTTCCCTTGAAATCTCTTGAAGGAGGTATACTTTCTTAGAACCTATGAAATTGTTTCATTGTTTAGTTTTTCCTCACCCAATGAGAATGTTTACGACACATGATAGCTATATTAAGGACACACTTAGGACAAACTCTAAAAATGGTATAAATAATTTTATTATCTAGCTTCCTTGAATTATATCTTAAGCGGTTTTAAATGGAATACAGCTTAAGTTTTAAGTAAACGAAACTAGACACGTTAAGTGACCACTTATAAAGACACTTTCCGACAATTATGTTCATAACCAATTCCTTTTAAGGACGTATGTTTGCTTTGTAAAAAAGTAATGAATCATTTAGAAATACTGCATGTATTATACATTTGACTGAGGGTATAATAAGCAAGCCCTTTCTTTGGAAAGGTTGATCAAGAGAAGGACATCGCTCTGATCACACGATAGAGGTTAGTTTTCTAATCTGTTTTGTCTTGTTAAGAGATTAACTATATGTCTTTGTTTTGTACGGGCGTCTTTTTGGCATAAATCTGCGTCATATTCAACTTGATTGGTAGCTAAATAAAACACAAATTACACTAAAATGTCAAAAAGAGATGTGATTATTTTCAAATTGTAATTTTAAATTTGAGCAGTAATTAATCATGGCTTATCAATAGTTTTAGAATAAATGGTTTCTATAATATACTCCAAAATTATGTATCTACAATCCAGCTTTCAATTGTCTGTTTTGTTTCACAAAAATCATTTATAATAAAATAAAATAATAAAATAAAACTTTGTACCATGTAAGATGTAACAAAATTTTGTTTATTTTTAATGCGTTGTAAAATGGGTAATGTAATATGTCTTTATAATTTAAAAATACTTTTTTGAAAAATACTAAAAATCTTTAATACTCGTGTTATCCTAAATGATTCCCACCTCATAATATTCAAAATCTGTATTAGTTTATTATTCTTATCGAATTTACTCTGTAAGTTTCAGATAATCAGTCCATACATTTATCTACAGATTTGTCATGATAAAGTCACATTGAGTGTCACTTGACTATCGCCATCTGCATATGCTGCTCATATTAACAATTTATTATTTTTATGTTCTTATTTTGAATTCTGATTCTGTCAGTGCCAGGGGGCATAGACGTAGCCTGCATTTCTCATCTCATTTCATGAATATTATCAATGAACTAAATCTGCAACATTTTCAATTGTCGGGTTGTAAGCGTTATTTAAGGGGTTTAATTTGTTTACCATTTTATTTAATTTGATCGAGTGATTGATCAATTTTTAGAATCATGATTTCATTTATTTTAGAGCATTGCTAGCAGAAAACAGTGACAATATTTTCTACTTACGATGGGAACAACCAAACTCAATCATGTTGGAATAATAGCCCTATGTCTTCTTAGTTTGACAGTTTGTTTCGTCAAAGGTAATTTATTTTACTTGTTAATTTATCGAATTTTGAACCCTTTTAAATTTTATTTCATAATACAGATAATAAATAAGACAGATCACGTTATTCCATAGTAAAAGTGAATTATCATATATATATATTTCAGCAGAATGCTATATGTATGTTCAAGAATTTTTAATTTCCATTAAAAGAAAATCTTGTTATTTCTGAAAAGAAAGAAGGAAATGAAGATCATGTAGACAATATTTATTTCAGGTGAAGCTAACTGCACCTCTAAAATAAAACCAATTAAAATTCGCCCATGCCCAGATGGCCTTAGAGATGACGGTATAAGTTGCTGGAAAGATTCGTACGGCCGAGGTGTTGGTCGAATTCCCGACAAATCACCTTGCCAGGAAGACCAACGCGATGACGGAACAAGCTGTTGGATTGATTCCTACGGAAGAGGGGTTGGTCGCGCTGCCGCCAAAGCTCGGTGCCCAAAGGGTCTTAGAGATGATGGAACCAGTTGCTGGAGCGATGCTCACATATATGGGAAAGGATGTTGTTGTACATTGTGGGGATGCTGTAACAAATGTCCAAGTGGTTATAAAGACGACGGTTGCACATGCAGAAAGGTCAACATAGGAATAAAGGTGACCCTATTCCAGAGGTTAGGCTGTAACAGCACGGAGGACAAATACGGATCTCGCTGCTACCCCAAATGTCAGTCTGGTTATAAAGCCGTTGGATGTTGTATTTGCGAACCTAATGGTGGACCTGGAATAGTTCAGACTTTAAAATCCCGACAAAGCTGTAAAACGAATGAAACCATGTACGGTGGACTGTGTTACCCAGAATGCAAGCAGGGATATAGGTCGGTGGGATGCTGCGTGTGTGAACCAGAGGAAGGTCCAGGAATAAAGATAACATATTCGAAACGTCAGTATTGTGAAGGTAATGATCTGAAATTCAATGGTGTATGTATCGATAAGGAAGGATGTTCAACATCTGATCTTGTCAATGAGTTGCAGAAAGTGACAAAGTTGTCCCCAGAAATGGTCGATCATCTCAAAGAAAGGATTGCAGCCAGCAGAAAATGAATAAGCTTACCGATTTTACCTAAAGATAAAAAGGTATACGGCTACATAGAGTGATTTTTTTTCCTAAAAATATTTAACATTAGAATTATGTTGTTTCCATAATAATATGGTTCTCTCTCAAAAGAGCACATGGACTATTTCTGTTATTGGACACACATGAACACTGTTCGTAATCAGAAATAACAGTTTACGGAACAAAATACTGTACTGCTAAGTAGATAGCAAATAGTAAAGCAATGATTTGTAAATGCGCCTTCCTCTCTTTTTGAAATAAACAAAAATATGATTATGCACAAACAAGTATTTTGTTTTATTTTTTATATATTTTTTAAAGATATGAACGACAAGCAGTAGATATATAGAATCATACACATTAAATTAATACAGATTTTTAGCTTAGCTTGATAACAGGAAATTACGGCGAAACTAATATTTTGTTGACATTTTCTTATTCCCACACACCAAAACTGTGGACCATTATAACACAGTCATTAATTAACATACATGTATCACCTTTTAATCTTTTTTAACAGTCGTGGTTTTTACATCCCAGAATCTGTTGTTGTCTTCATAAAAATAGTTCTATAACAGCAAGGTATTAATACGTTGAAACTATTTAGCTTTTCAAAACGAGTAAACAGGGTCAACAAAGTCCATCATTATAAAGTAATATATGAAACTGTTCTATCCCAATCTAACCCAAATCCCCATTTTCACCATTTGTTCCTGGTTTGCTTTTCTATATCGTTGCTCCAAATAACGCGTTAACTCCCCAGAATAAATTGACTTATTTTTATTTTTTAAAGGATTCATGGAAACAATACTAAGCTTTACTTATATGCAACGGTTAGAGTATGTACGATTCTATGTCAAATAAGGGGCAATCCGCCCGTTAATGTATTAAATGCAGCTTTCTCTGTCGAGAACACAACCGACACATGTCACCAGTCCCTTTAATGGTTAATTTTGATGCACAAAATGGTAATAATTTACCTCCATGCAATTTCCATGAAGTATATATATTTACTGATCACAACAATAAAAGTGGTATTTAAATGATAAAAATTCAAAGAAACGCGCAAATGATATTACACCAAAAATTCAAAATAAATTTAAAAAAAATAAAAAAAAAAAAAAATGCTATGCTTACAGATTTTTACTTACCTTTACATAAATAACAGCAATACCTACACAGACATTCACCTTATGTTCATGATTTGTACAAAGTGATAATTCTACTTTATATAGTCACCAAAAGTGATGGTACATGCTAAATATTTATGATCTGGACGTTTTATGTTGAAGGCAACGACTTTTAAAACATGTAAACTATATAAACTGTGTACATGTAGATTGTGTGAAACCTTACCCGGCACACACCCCAGGCACAGCCTGTATTATTGCAAAAACTAAGATCTCGGAATTGTAGCTTTACATTAGTTAACATGCATGTAAATAATATTTCCTATCTTAGTGACCCCTTTGGTCGGGGTCAATATTGACCCCAGGAGCATGATTAATATATCTCTTCTAAATGTATACAATGCAATCTCGTATACAATGCAATACTCTAGACAATAAAATATACTATAATGTATCGCGCATATAAACGGTGTTCTGATTACCTCCCTTTATCTAAAACTTTCTTTCAATATTCAGCCATTCAAACAAGCGTGGTAGTCAGAGGATAAACTTTCGGACACATATGATATTGATATTTCTTCTTTTGAACACATATTTTGTTGCAATGTAACTACAATGAAAGAGATACAAATTTATATCAGCCCTTCCATCCATATCAGTCTTTCATTTAGAGGAAGACTGTTCACAATGAGGTCAAATAGAGGTAGTATTGTGAATTAACAACTGCAGGTACTCAAGACATATTCATTCAGAAGCTTTGATAACTTAAAAAATATATAATTATATATATATATATATATATATATATATATATATATATATATATATATATATATATATATATATATATATATATATATATATATATATTGTATGTATCATTACAACATGCTGTTATTTAGTGAATTTACGTATCTTAAGCAACATCAGGTTTGATTAATAAGAGTGTCTTTTTTAATAATAATTAAATAATATAAGCCTATGACCTCCTCAATAATTACAATCTAAACAGACAAAAATATTAAGTTATAGATGTAGGGAAATGCATAGATCCCTACATTACCAAGATCTTTCTAATTCAAATTATATACTCATTGGATAACAATTGAAATATCCCCACCACATATTTGTTAAAAAAGAACAAAGGTAAATGTTTGTGGTTAAAGCTATTGTTATTCAAATAAAAAAAGTCAGAGTAAGTACACCATTCAGTAATGTTATATTTCTGCCAAAAAGATTTACTATTTTCCGTTCAAAATACAGTGCAGATACAAAAGTTTGAAATAAAAACATTTTGTCTAAGTGTGATCTTGATATTGACCTTTCCAAATGTTCAAGATACGGACACGAAAAACTTCTATATAAGTCTTTATAAATCAAGAAATCGGACACGAAACAGGCGGGTGGACGGACGGACGGATAGACGACCGGCCATGTGCATTTTCCGCCTTTTATGTTTTTCAGGCGTATAAGGGCCATTATTTACTGTTCTATACATATATTTTTACAAATTACCCCGGTACAATTTTGTTATTTTAGATACTTAAATCTTATAAGGTTTGCCCTTGAAATAAATAGAGATCACAATGCTTTTTTACCTTTCTACCTTTTATACGGAAATTTACAACTTTTCTGAAATAAAATATATTGAAACATATAAACTAACGCTAAAATCCATTTGTTAAAACAATAATGCACTATCAGCAAGTTTATTTTTGTTCGGTTTAGCGTCGCGCAAGCACACTAGAGGATATATTCAATATGAGTAAGAATATACAGTCCCTGGCGAGTAGGAAAGTTGCAAGTGTTTTGAAGTCAACTTTCACAGTAATCTTGCACGAATGCCTTCTGCAATCAAGATAATGCGTTTAAATTAGTATTATAGCAAATGTACTCAGTCTATTACAAGAACAAAGTGTTATGTCATCATAAATATGAGAGTGTTTCCTTATAGCAATAAGGACAAAAAATAACAGAAAAAAAAGAAGCGAATAGAAAATAACCACTTTCGAGTACTTATGCTTTTCTTCTGAAATATTGCATGGCGTTTTTTTTTTCGTCTTCGAAATTTATCGTTTTCATAAAATATCCATTGTAACAGATTCACATCCTCATCGATAAATCTTTCAGTGTTATTGAACATCTCTTATTGAATCATCTTTGCGGACAATTTCTTAACTAATGTGACAGTATTTTAATATCAGTAAATGTTGAATCAAGAACAAACCATGCAATTCATAGTGAACTCGTCGCTATCGTTATACTTATATAAATCCACTCCTAATATAAAGCTCCAATATTTCATTTTGACCTCACGTGTTTATGAAATGAATGAGAGAATGAAATGAAAACTAGATAGCTATAATGGATTTCTATGTTTTATATACATAAAAGTGTCAGAGAAGAGAGTTTCATTCTAAACAAGAGCATGTGAATACTGTAAATTATTTAAATATTTTATACAGCTTTGAGTGTTTTACTCAAGCGGAATATACTTAAATCTAAATGGTATGTGTTAAGAATGAGTAAGTGTATGACTAAATTAACATTCAGCTTATGTAACGTATTGTTTCTCTTTTTCCTTCTGTATTCAAAGTCACTGAATCATAAATGAATAATAAAACAAATTATCAAATGTTTAGTTATCTTGAAAAGAAAATGCGTAACGATTTACATACAAAATTATTTGCACATGCATGTGAATTTTCCCATTTCTGACAAGGAAACAAAGATGATAGACTGCACCATGATTGCATTTTTTTGGTACTTTTATTATTTAATAGCGTAATATATGGACAATTTCCTTTGTCTTCACACGAAGTACACTTTGTATCTAAAAAGGAAAGTCTCTAATAGATATGAATATTTTTTCGATTGCTTCCTTCTATCATACATTTTAACATTTTAAATGGACATGTCAAGTGAGAACGTGTCAGGACAATATCTTGAACACTTATGTTATAACCAACTGTTGTTAAGCATTCATTTTCCGCGCTTTGTAAAAACGTAATGATTGACTTAGAAATAAAAATTAACTGTTGGTATATATACAAACCATTGGAAAATATGCAAAAGAAAGAACCACGCTCTGACCACACGATAAAGGTTGGTTTTCTATTTGTTTTTTAGTGTCATGTTAAGAGGTCTATTGTTTGCCTTTCGTGTTCTATTTACGTTTATGAGTTTTAAACACAGACGACTTTTAGCATATTTATACTTAATATTTAAATTGATCGGTAATTATATAACAACGCATTGTAAAAAATAAAAAAGGTCTTTTAAAAATTCATCCTAAGATTTAATCTTGTAATCTCATTAAGTATATTTTAGACAATTAATTCGCAAATTTATCTGCTGATTAGTCATGACATTGCTACATCGACGGTTACGTGATAATATACATACCATGTTCGAATACTGATTTTGTTTCAGTCTGTACTTGGAGGCGTGAACGATAGCTTTCATTGACCACTTTTGTCTACATTTCAAATCAAACCAAGATTTTCAATTCTACCATTTTTAACCATGTCATCTATTTTTTTTATCTGTTACAGCTTTTATTATCATAAGATTATCCGGTTTTTAGAATGTTGTTGATGCATGATTCCATTCATTTCAGGAAATCTTCAGCAGAAAACAGTTATTTTGTATGTGCCATGGAAACAGCCAAAATGACACATCTAGGAATAACAGCCCTTATGTTTGCTGAGTTTGACAGTTTGTACAATCAAAGGTAAATATTATTCATTTAATATGATTGAATACCTCTAAATACTTAATTTGATGATACAGATAATAAAATGATCTCTTTTTGTTAAAAAAAACAAAACAAAAAAAAACATGTTTTATAATAATCATAGAGCAATCAATTTCTTTTAACAGAAATCACAAGATATGTTCTCTGATTTATTTAATTTGAACTGGCTTTTGTTTATGTTCCGTTTTTGTTTGTTTGTTTGTTGTTTTAATTAAAAAAGATAAAAGTTAATAGAAAATATAGAAAATAAGAAGATAGATAAAAATGAAAATTACGGAAACAGCATTTTTTCAGGTGATGAGAACTGTAGCCCAGGGGACAAACAATTTAAAATTCTTCCATGTCCACATGGCTTTAGAGATGATGGTTTAAGCTGTTGGAAAGATTCTTACGGCAGAGGTGTTGGCCGAATTCCCAACAAATCACCTTGCCAGCAAGGCCAACGTGATGACGGAACAAGCTGTTGGATTGATTCCTACGGAAGAGGGGTTGGTCGCGCTGCCGACAAAGCTCGGTGCCCACATGGTCTTAGAGATGATGGCACCAGTTGTTGGAGTGATGCACGTATATATGGAAAAGGATGATGTTGTACATTGTGGGGATGTTGTAACAGATGTCCAAGCGGTTATAAAGACGATGGTTGCACATGCAGAAAGGTCAATGTAGGCATAAAGAGGACCCTATTCCAGAGACTAGGCTGTAAAGGCACAGAGGACAAATACGGGTCTCGCTGCTACCCTAAATGTAAACATGGCTATAGACCTATTGGATGTTGCATTTGTGAACCTAGAGGGGGCCCGAGAGTAATTGAAACCTTGAAATCTCGACAAACCTGCAGAATGCACGAAAATATGTACGGCGGACTGTGCTACCCAAAATGTCGAGACGGGTACAAGCCTGTTGGATGTTGCATGTGTGAACCAAAGGGAGGTCCAGGAATCAAAATAAGCTATATTGAACGACTCCATACATGTTTATTATCTCAAGGTGTCGATAAAATAAGAAATGCAATGAAAGGGATGTCTCAAGATATGATTGATAAACTCAATGAAATGATTACAAATCTAAAAAAACAAAACAAGCTTACTTAGGCCAAACTAAATTTAATATCACCTGCTTTTTAATATAACAGTTTATAAGTTATAGAAAGAACATCGAAACACGAGAATATCTGATTTGTACGAGGGGCGATGTTATTTCTCTTTTTTATCATAGTCCAATATAAAAACATATTCTCTGTCGTCACAATATGAATGTCAAGAAGAATGTAACCAATGAACGAGCATCTGAATATAATATTTCTGTCGCTTTCCTTTCTCTGCCGTCACCATAAGTAAACCTCAGCAAAAATGATCCAAACAATGGACATGATCTGGAGTGCGAGTTAATTATACCTTCACTCAAGTTAACGCACTGTGCATGTATATGTATACGATATAAAGTCCCCAAACTATGATACAATTATATTTTAACATTAAATCGGAACCGTGTACTTTTCTTTTTTCTGCGAGCCTCTCTTATTCAGTAATTAAAAAGCAAACACTTTTCATCTTTTATATCCTTTTTGTCTATGCCAGATAAACCAGAGAATCATTCAATGACAGGAAGGTAATCATTTGAGCCTATTTCGATGTACTCAACGGTTAGACGGATATATATATATACAAATAAATGATAAACACGATTAAAATGATATTATTTACTTAAATCAGATTATAAATAAAAATAATTCCCATCATGTTTGTCTATACTATACAAACAATATATACATGTAATGCATAATATGACATAAATATATGAACGTATGTTAAATGAAATTAAATTGCAGACGAAATAAACGAATTATTTTTAACAGTAACACACATGGCGGATAGTATAAAAGTTTTCCCTGCCGGTTACTTTGACAGTCCCATAGTTTACTGCGATATTAAGCGCAAACAATATATTTTTTCTAAACTGACCAACGTGGAGCAAGTTACGAAACCTGCCAAACACCTTTTTGTCTTTATAAGTGGCATTTTGGAACCTGTGAATGATTAGTGTTTTCATTTCGAGGACATAAATATAAAATTGGATGACAAATTTCAGAAAAAAAGATGTACAAATTTTGTTTATATATCCTTTGAAACCTGAAAAGCCTCTTCCTTCCTTATCACAGTAATACACGAGTACATCATCATACCCGTCCAACGTTCATGTGCTGCCCTCCACATACGCTCCCGTACGCTCCCTTCGCAGCTCAGTGAATACACTAACGTTATTACACGTTAAGAAAGTGAACGATAGTGAAACAATCGACCTATGCGCAGGAGAGTACCTTCCTCACAGTATGGCATATATTATTACAAACAAAGTGTCGAAAACAATTGATAACAACTGATACAAAATATTGCTAGCATGATAAAGTCTGATACTCTGAAAACAAAATTAAAGCCATTATTGGAACACTATAACTAATTATGATAAAAATGTTTACTCGATTACCGCCAATAGTACGATTTACGTGCAATACATCAAATCTGAATGAATGCAAACATGAAAATTACTATTCTTTTAAAAAAACTTAACATGTTATACAAGGAGAGTGTATCATTTAATTCGTCTAAGGTTTCACTGATTTTTTATAATGTTCCGTCAAGATATTTAACTTAAACAGCTATACAACATTTCAGTCTCCGGATCCAACCTTTGAAGGCATTTTAGGTAGACTATAAAGACACTGAAATATTGTAAAAGCATGGTGTTTGTTCTGAACAATGCTTTGACCTGAAAGGTATTTCTTTAGATTTCGAAACCAAAGGAAGACACAAGGGGCAAGTCAGGAGGATGGGGACCACAACGATTTTATTTCTGCTGCGCTAGCACTTTGTTTCCAGATTTTTATACTTCACAACAGCAGGTGTCAAGTACCGTGTGGCAGCTGTAAAAAGTTGCCCCGTACTTCACTTCAGTGTTGTTTTATTTTTCTGGTCCTTCTGCATCATTGATGCCAGCTCTATTAAGAATTGAGTACCGCTTAAGCCGGTGCTAGGGGGCGTGAGGGATGTTGCACGTATTCATTATCCCTCATGTACAGACTCAATCAAACCGAGTCTGCAATTTTTATATAATTTGTTGTGATTAATGCTTCCGAGGGATCACTTTGTTTCCAGATTTTTCTACCAATTATGTTTTATTACAGTATACGGGTAGACAATGGCAATCTTTAAACATAGCTCAGCTAAAGCGAACGGAATTTAATGAGTCTGGTATCAATGTTAAGCTAACATGTATATCCAGCCGAAAAGGTTCATTTTCCTCTTGTTTTTTTTACAATATTGAACAATTTACTGTTCTAACTGCATTCATATTGAAACACATATTTAAAGATTAAAACATATTATAAAACATAAAATGAGTATAGACATATAACACATAAAATGAGAAAAGAAATATAATTACACGCTAGATACACATTCCTAAAGAACGCCAAGACGGCAAAATTGAAAATAATGCAGACTTGGATTGAGCGAGTCTGTTCATTGACATGAAAAGTCCTACCTACTGTCTACGCTTCACCAGAATCTAAAACCTGCTTTGGTTCAATATGTTTCACAACCAATATCACTATTTTGTTTGTTTGTTTGTTTGTTTCATTTTACGCCTTTTTCCAACAGTATTTCAGTCATTTAGGCAGGTAGTTTCCTAACCATCGTTCCTGGAGAGTTACACCAGTACTAAACTACCTTCCTCCGTGCTAAACTACCAAAGCATCTCCAGGGGATCGAACCCACGCCAGAGAGGTAACTGGATTAGAAGTCATCGACTCTAACCCCTCGACCACGGAGGCGGTTATCACTATTTAGAAATTCCTGAATCTATTATTCTACGTTATGACACTTAAAGGCAAACTATTGTTATTTTCTTACATTCCTAAATGATTGTTAATTTGTTACACTTAATTCCGTGGTATAAAAAACATAAGTCCACGTAAGCTCGTATCCGTTCGTTCATCTGGTGTTATATTTCAGCAAAAAGAAATATTTGAATAATTAAAGATTCCCATTTCCATTCCATGTAAGCGATCTTTTTAGACTATCTTTATATTTTTAAATAAAAGGCAGAAACAATATATATATGTTATTCAAGACATACAAAAATCAAAAATGTAAAAATGCACCACAGAAATAGAAGTTTGGTTTGAACTTTTTGTATTATTCTTAGTGTTCATGCATAATATCATTTGAAATGTTCTTATCACTTCACTTTGTATCTGTTTCCTTTTTTTTTTTATTACATGCAAATGGTATGCAAATGTATATTAAACAAAACGTTTTTGACAATAATTTAAAATTTATCTGCATTTGATAAATGATCATTTCATTGCATTTCACCGGCAATATATACAACTGATAAAAGGTTAAGCACGCTCCGGAAATTTATAATTGGTTACGATTGAAAGCACTGTCATTAAGATGACGACTTAATTGAGAATTGACAAGTAGCGATACCAATTTAGTAATATTAAACATGCAAATTTATGAGTTTAGCTTATTCGCAACCAAATTATTGAAACATAAACAAATGTATTTGTACCAAAAATGTAAGTGTTTATAAATATGGTGTTGGAGCGTTTATAAAACATTTACTGGTTGATATTTATGGTATATGTTGACGATTACGTTATCTAAAACGACATGATGCAGCCAATTTTTAATAACGTTTGTAACCGCCATGTGCCCGTATAACAGTCTCAAACCTTCTGCTCATACTTCCAGTGTAAGGCGTCTAATGCGATTTTGAGGTAAATTTTGTCATTCTTGGTACAGAGCTTGTCCCAGTTGTTGCAGGTTGACCGCAGGTGGTCCATACCATTGCCGAAATAAAATTTAAAATTTCAGTTCTGGTCATGTCAAAATTGAGGCCAAATGCCGCGTAAAGGAAGAGGCGATCATCCGGGCACGTGGCGGTTACACACGTTATTACAAATCTGACTGCATCATGTCATTTAAGGTGACGTAACAGTCAACATTTACCAAACATGTCCACCAGTAACTGTTTTGTAATCATTCCAACACCAAACTTATAAGCACTTACATTTTTTTTTGTAAAAAACAACACATTTGCTTATGCATCAACACTTTTGTTAAGAATAAACTAAACTTATAAATTTACTGATTTATGATTAGATTACTGAATTGGTATCGCTACTAATCAAGTTACTATTTCAAAGGTCAATTAAGTCGTCATCGCATGATTTAAATATCAAGGGTGTGCTTAACGTATTTCTAGGTGTATAATACCCGGTGTAATGCATTCCTTTCATTTGAGCGTTTTTATCGACAGCGAATGCAATTTTGTATTACGTATTCCAATTATAATTCTGCAGTATTGTTTATATTGAAAAACGCTGGGAGTTGTTTGCTGCACATTTTTCGATTATTCATCTTTTTTAAAGCGAGAACAGTATGGCCTGGTTAACAAAAGCATAGTTTATCAAAGCAAGATTATATTTTTTATGGTCCTTCGGGACAATTGATGCCAGCACTATTAAGTGTTGAGAATTGAGTACCGCTCAAACCGGTACTGGGGGTGTGAGGATGTTGAACTTATTCATTATCCCTCATGAACTGACTCAATCAAACCGAGTCTGCAATTTTCATGTAATTTTGTGTATTTTCTTCTTTTTTGTACCCAACGTACAGTCACAACTAACCTCATGAGTCGGAGAAGAAATCAAATTATCAACATTTTCAGTTCAGAACTGGTATTGTGTTATAAGTAAAGGCATTCTAGGAGGAAGACAAACATGTTAGTAAGTAAAGATAGTTTCAGATAAAAGCCAGTCGTTTGTAAAACAGTCATCATTTCAACGACTGAACTCTTAAACTGGGCTTTGTAAGACTCGTATTCAGCAAATGCTCTCTGCCCGTTAATGCATGTTTGTCTGTAGTTTTACTTTGATTCTGTGCAAGCTTTGTAACGTCACCTTAGTGCAATAACAGATTACCCACTGTTAAATTTAGAAGGACTTATTCCGTTATTGCACTTAGGAGACGTTATGAGATTTATATGAATACTGGTGACTTATTTACACTTCATGATGCTGAATCTGTAAATATATTATCTTTATTAGAACAGTATAACCGTTTTTTTAAATATTTTTCATTATCCTTATTCAAGATTCGAGTCCCATGTGAAAAGCAACAATGTTACTTTTTCTGCATCATTGCAAATACAACAACAGAAGAAAGAACACTCATCAAATTGTTTATGTGACCTTGATATCAAAAATTGGAATTGTAAAATCAATTCCACTAATTAATTAATGGTTATTGGTTATTAGTAAGCATTTTCAAAATGAAATAAATCATGATCGACCAATTTAAGGTGATTCAAGATTATCAGCCTTGATTTTCACTTAGTGATTCCAAAGTAAAAGTAGGCAAAATTCATATAAAAACAAAGCCCACAATATAAAATGGCGAACTATTTGCAATTACATTTCAAAGTCAATGCTGTAAGGACCAAAATAAATAAAACTAAAAGTGATAACAATATTTACGTTTAA